TTTTTTGGGTCAAACTACTACCCAGCTTGTCTTTACAGTAAGCAAGCGACTGCTTGGGTGCTCAGAAATCATTTAATAAACGAAAAAATTTTGTTGAACTTGGCAAATTAAGACACAAACTTTGTGTTGAACCAAATGATTTTGAAAAATATTTAAAAAATTATTTTTCAAAAGAAACATTACAATTTGTAGCTGATTACAATGTCGAAGCAGGTATACGACAAATCGGAAAATTTGGACTTGTTCTATCACTTACAGATCCAAATCAAGAGAATGTTTGGAAAAACCAAATTAGTTTTAAATTTCAATTTTTTTGCTTTAAAAAATAAATGTTAAAATTATGTTTAGATAAAAACAAAATCTTACTTTATTGGGATGTTTTTTATAATTTCCGTTGGTAAACTTTTTTGAAATTTTTAACTGTTTTTAACTTGATTGTGATTTTAAACCAGGAGTTTGTAAAATAATATATTCATTATCATAAAATGGCGTTCCAAATCAGTAAAATAAGGTACTCTTATTTGTCACATTAAAAGCCGAATTTATGAAAAGTTGTGATTTAAAAGTAATTTAATTTTTTCAAACATTTTTTAATTTGATTCTGTAAGAGATAAATCATGTCCAAATTTGTCAATTTGACGAATTCCAGTTTCAAGACTGTAATCAGCAACGAATTGCAAAGTTGGTTTTGAAAAACAGTTTTTTAAATACATCTAGGGATTACTTGGCTCAACACATCGTTTGTGTTTGAATTTTTCAAGTTCAACATGATTTTTTTCGTTTATTATGTGTTTTTGGAGCACCCAGGCAGCTGCTTGCTTACTATAAAGAGAAGCTGGGCAGTGATTTGAACCAAAAAACGAATCAATTTAAATTTTAATAAAATGTTTTTGAAGTACTCTTCTGGCCAGGAAAGGCGGGAATTTTTTGGAAACCAGTTTCATATTGCTTATTTTAAATATTAGTTAGTTTGTATAATATCTTCGAATGGTCTAAAAGGTTGTCCAAAAAACATAGACCAAAGTTGTTTTCAATACATGGTATTCATATTCAGAAAAAAACATTTTTAAAATTGTTTTTAAAGTTGAGTTTTTTCACATTTAAGTAGTGGCCTGGTGGATGGTTGATGATGCCCAGGCAAAGTTTGAAACGTTTGTAAATGCTTTATAAGCTGCTTCCTCTACCATAAAAAGTCAGTCTGGACTACGTCAAGCTTGTAAATCTCTCTCCGCGCGCCACGTTATCAATCTCTTCTGTTGGCAACGGTGATATGAGTTTACGTGTTGTTTCCATAGATTTAAAAATTTGTTTGTCATTGCTAAGACTTTGAATTTTGCACTGTCGGTTTTTAAACATGGTTTCAGCTTTTTCCTTATGGCCATCATATACGTTTTTATATGAAAAAATAATATTAGCTAATGCTTGAAAATGAATTTGATTTTTTAAATTTACGCATGATTTTAATTTTAACGGGTTTTTTTAAACCATGCAAAGTTTTGCGGCGTTTAGTTGGTTGTTTATCTAAAAAGTTTTTTGAACGTTTGCATGTGTTGAGTTGTGCATCAAGTAGAAGAGCAATAATAAAAAATAAATAAAGTTTTCCAAAACGCAATTTTTAAATCTAAAAAATAAAAAACAAGTTTAATAAAATTACAAAAAATACGAATTGATAACTTACTTAATTTAATTTTTTATTTACAACAAAAAATAAATTAAAATGTGTTGCCAATTAGTTGCAAACAAAACTTTAAATTTAAAAAACTAACTAGTTCACTAGCGGTATAGTTAAATAAATGTTGGGTAAAATACAGAATAGTGTGCTTCAAATTAGTGGTTACGTGTTAAAACTAAAAAGTATTAAACAGGCAAATATAAAGCTACCCAGTTGCACTTTTAAAAAATGCAATTGTGCGTTGGCTGAGTGGTTAGTACACCCAAAATCTAAACTTTGAGTGGGTTTAGTGGGTTAAAAGTGCACGTAAAGTTATTGATAATAAAAAAATGTTGTCTAGAAAAGATAAGGTGTTGCAAACTGCATGATTACAATTATTAACAGGATGTATCTGGTATCAAATGTATCAAATGTAACTGCATTAAATGTATGTATTAAACAAACAAAGTTAATTTTTTTACTGATAAACCAGAAAATGTAAGTATACTCTTAAAATCTTTTTTTATTTACATTGATTACTATAAATTGATAAAAATTATTAAATTAATTTTACTTTTTTTTTGTTTTTGGCAAATCCTTTAAAGTTTTTAAGTTTAAATGTTTTCCATTAATTCTAGCTATTAACCCGTTTTTCTATTTTAAATATTAATAAAAATAAAATCAAGTTGTTACAAACGCTGCTTGAGGTGAAAATAAAAAACTTGTTGAATTTAGTAAAGATAAAAAGCACAGTTCAACAAAAGTTAAAAATTCAAAATCTCATAATCTCTTTGCACAACACTAAACAAAAAATTGTGGTGACCTTTTTGAATTAAATAGCTGATCGTGATAGAGTACCCTCGAAAAAACAGTTTTAGTTTGCTCGCTCGCTCGCTTAAGTACGCTCATTCTTCCTCTGCAGACAGGTTTGAGGCTCAGTAGCGCAGTGGTCTGAGACTCACGGGAGTGTGGCCTAGTGGAATAAGGCGTCGGTTTCCGGTAAAAGTACCAGGAATTAGCCGAAGATCGAGAGTTCGAATCTCTCCACTTCCTAGGATTTTTACCCTTTTTTAAAGTCCCAACCGGAAGAAGAAGGTCTCGGGAACATTTTGGTGAAATCAGAATTCTAAAAACTGCTGTACTTTTCGAGATATCGGTGATTGAAGTTTAGGTTGATTTAGCCACTTTTGAACGAGTGCAGCGGGCGACTATTTTGACATCGCTGGCTGCGCTGTTGCCTCTCTCTCATGTGTGCACACTGTGCGCCCCACCACCACAACAACAAACATCACATCAAATGAACGAGGCTCATTTCTTATCAACTGCCTAGAAACTCCAAGGACCTTCCGCGACCTACTTCCTTTTGAAATAGACTGTAAAGCATCCAGGGCTAAAGAGGCTGCAGCTTTGACGACTGCCAAAAAAAACAAGAACTGAGGTGCCTGTGAGTTGGCACAAAATCATTTGCGTGTATCGTGGAGTTCCACTGTAACTGACTTCAGAGTCTTTACGTCTCACTGGTGTTGTCGAGGCAACTTCCTTGATGATTATTTGGTTGCCACCTGGAAATGAGCCTGTCAAACTCCAATCGTATAGTGCCACGTTGAAAAGTAACGCAAACCAGCGAATTGAAAGTTCACTGCGTACACAGCATCAACTGCACACCCCATTAAATCCTTCTGTGAAAAAGTACACCTGAAAAGTGCTTAAAAACAGCGCTTTCAAAAAGCGGTTTTCATTTCTTTCAACAGATCAGTTCAGCCACCACTTCTTGAAACAACAACAAGAGAGTATTCAACTGCAATTGCAAATCAAAATGAGCTCAACTGAGCTATAGTATCGGTGTGTAAACTAAATCTTTTCAATTTTGCTTTAATTAGATAGAAAACTCAAATGATGAATTTATATCTCTCACGTTAGCACACATTGCTCATGCTTGCCTTCTACGACGAGACCTGAATTCGGACAACCGTGCGTAAAAGACGTCCTTGTTCAAAGTCAGCGCGAAAAAATTTTTGGTTAAAAGTGGCTACCATCTGAAGGCGTGGATCTTTTCTATTTAGCAAATAGATGCGTAATGATCGCACTCTTTTACTTTGCCTTTCCTGTTGGTTCCGGCCTTGGATACACTGCTGGCTTTCAGATGGTAGCCACTTTTTGCCAAAAATTTTTTCGCGCTGACTTTGAACAACGCACAGTTGTCCAATTTCAGGTCTCGTCGTAGAAGACGAGCGTGAGCAATGTGTGTTAACGTGAGAGATATAAAACTCATCATTTGATCTTCTATCTTATTAGAATTAAATTAAAAGTTTTTTTGTTTACACACAGGTGACCTCAAGTCTGACTCTGGACTTTTTTTAAAGTCCCTACCGGAAAAGGAAGGTCTTGAGAACATTTTGGTGAAATCAGAATTCTAAAAACTGCTATACTTTTTGAGATATCGGTGATTGAAGTTTAGGTTGATTTGGCTGATTTTGAACGAGTGCAGCGGGCGACTATTTTGACATTGCTGGCTGCGCTGTCGCCAGTCTCTCACTGTGCCACCACCAAAACAACAAACATCACATCAGATAATAAGAGAACGTCTCCTTATCAACTGCCTAGAATCCAAGGACCATCTGCGGCCTACTTCTTCTTGAAATAGACTGTAAAGCATCAGGGACTGAAGAGGCTGAAGCGTCGAAGGCTGCCAAAAACAAGAACTAAGGTACCTGTGAGTTGGCACAAAATCATTTGCGTGTATCGTGGAGTTCCACTGTAACTGACTTCAAAGTCTTTACGTCTCACTTGGGTTGTCGTGCCAACCTTGATGATTATTTGGTTGCCACCTGGAAATGAGCCAGTCAAACTCCAATCGTGAAGTGCCACGTTGAAAAGTAACGCAAGCCAGCAAATTAAAAGTTATCTGCGTGAGAGCAGCAACTGCACACCCATAAATCCTATGTGCAAAAAGTACACTTGAAAAGTGCTTAAAAACAGCGGTTTTTAGTCCACCAGCAAACCATTTCAGCCACCACTTCTTGAAACAACAACAAGAGAGTATTCAACTGCAATTGCAAATCAAAATCAGCTCAACTGAGCTATAGTATCGGTGTGTAAACTAAATCTTTTCAATTTTGCTTTAATTAGATAGAAAACTCAAATGATGAATTTGAAGATCTGAACGGACACGAACCGTTTCCTAGAGGTAAGCGGAGAGCTTGACAATACACAGGGAATTGATCGTGATACGCCGCCACCTTCAATACACGTCCATTTCAAACGCTATTAGGCAACTGGCTCAAGTCACAGGAGACTGTTAAAAGAGGATGCCGAGACTGAATTGTTTTTGACGCAGTTTTCAAAACAGAAAATCATAATAGATTTGAGCAATTATTCGTTTACATGGGAAGCAGCAAGTTTAATTGAGCCTCAAAAGCACTTAATTTACAGCAGTAAATAATGTGTTGATGAAGCTCAATTAACCTTGCTGCTTCCCATGTACACAAATAGCTGTTCAAATCTATAATATTTTCTGCTTTGTAAAAAGTGTCAAACTTCCGTATCGATGTCCCCTTTTATCGCTTTTTACTTGAGCCAGTTGATGATTGCGCTTGCATTTGACGTGTGTCCAGGATTCGCCGTATTCGCTCAATTTTTTTAGTGTATCTTTAAGTTCTCCGATTAGCTTTAGAAATGTTTGTGTTTGCTCCGATTTAATAAACTCATCATTTGATCTTCTATCTTATTAGAATTAAATTAAAAGTTTTTTTTGTTTACACACAGGTGACCTCAAGTCTTTGAAGCAATTGTCAGGCCATGTCTAGAGGCAAAGTGCACCACATTCGCCTTTAGTTCTTGATGTTCAGATCAACTTGGAGCTTTTTCAACCTTTTGATTTCATTGTATATCTTTTTAATTTTTGTATAATATCCTCATTTTGATTGGTCATGGCAAATAAAAAGCACATTTTGATAAGATCTGAACAAAGCTGTTTGGTGCAAATTCTTGTGCATAAAATTAGTTTAATGCGCATTAAATTAATTTTTCAAATTTTTGCATCAGACTTGCTGCAAACGAAAGGAAAAAAGCCGTCCTACACAGTTCAGTGAACGTTAGACTTGGTAACAAAAATACTGCACTGATCCTTTTGTTAATTGCGAGACATCGCAGTACAAGTGCAAGTCACAAGCGATCACCATTGTAGTTTTCCGCTACAGCACAGGATTCCTTCAATTAGCTCCGAAAAATGGCTGCTATAAATACATCCACACACCCTTCAACTCATAAACCCAACAGAGGAGAGCACTTTAAAGTGAGCCGAAAATAGCCAGCAGCGAGCCCAACAAAATCGGAATTTTCATCAGAATCTGAATGAAAAAAGCTGCGAAG